CAGCTAACGAACTCTGAACGGGATCGGGATCACACAGGCTGGCTCATATTTTTTCACAAAGCTGGCCGGTCGATGGTGGCATCAGCGAATGCAGTTTTTGTCCTCCAGCCAGAAACTAATAAAAGCGAATGCAGGAGCTGCCGGGGATTGGTTGAGTGGGTGGCTTGTCTCTGATGGATGATGATGGCTGGTGATGCAGAGGGGGGCTATAGGTGGGGTTAGAGCTGCGCTCAGCTGGGAGCATTCTCCTTCAATTTATCGATTGCAGGCGCGCCTTCCCTCGACCGACCCCCAAAAATAGTAGAGGGAAAAGAATTCGCAAGCTAACTGCAGTTGCAGGACTTCCACCACCCACCATCCTTCCCACCACCTTATATACAACTGCATTCTTTGCCATTTTTCTCAAACCCCCCACCACCCCAGTGGACTGCAGCTGCAACTGAAAGCAAAACAGGACAAAAACAGAACAAACCCAAAGAGCAAACAGCGATGGCAGCCACCATGGCAACAAAACTGAAACATAAGCAATGCAAAGAAAAAACTCAAAATGCATGGCCACCATTTTGAATAACAAGAGCGCAGGGTAGCCCCCCACGCCCCCCCCCACTCTTGCTACCAACTTCTGTTGGCTTGTTTTTTAGCCACCACCCCCCTTGGAAAATAAAGAAAAGAAAGCGTCAGAGAAATGCATTGGACGAGTGCAGTTGGCAAGGAAAAAAATGCAGTTGCAGTAGCTGGGGCAGGAGCAGGCGCAGGATCAGCATCAGGAGCTGGAGCTGGATAGGGGGGCAGAAGGAGGAACAGGATGTGCAGGCCAACGAAAAGCGACAAAATCAAATTCCGAGAAATAAAATTCCACTCGCAACAAAAGCAAAATGAGTCAAGTCGAAGGTTTTTCAGACTCCATGGACTCCATGGGGAGTTTTTTCTTGCCGCATGTCCTGCGACAAAAACTGCAGATGGACGAGGGGGAAGTCTGTATATGTATATGCTGCCTGCTCCCTCCTGGTCCATACTCTGGCATAGGAAAAGCCTATTTCAAAAAATTGAAAATGCAAAATTTCATTTGTGCAACGTGGGGCAAGGCGGGCAGCACACTCCTTTCTGCCATGGAGCCGCCCCCGGCCAAAGGCGGTGGATGCAATGGTCGTGCCACCCAGTCCTTGCTGTTGCTGTTGTTTTGGACGAGACCGACGACGACAAAGCAATTCTTCAGAAATGAAATGTCCTGGCACTGCTCCCTCATCCGCCCCCACACCCACACTGCCGCAACGATTGCAACTCCCACTCTTGCCTGCATTGCATTTCAAAATGGCAACTGCGGTGGAGCAGGGGGCGGCAGGCAGGAGTCTGTGAACCAGCAGCAATGGCGACAACTGTCAGCATCATAAGACTGCACATGAGCCTAGCAGGCAGCAAAATCAAGCCGACGCATGGAGGCGGAGGTGGAGGACGAGAACGAGGAAGCAGCCCACCGGGATGACACAAAACGTAAACAACAAGTTTGCTTTTTGGCACTGCAGTTCGGGCACCAAAGTTTTGCCGAGCCGTAGGGTGGCAGGTATCGGGGGCACACGCCTGCAGCGGCATGGGGCAGACAAAGCAAATGCAATCAGCAGTGTGTTTTGCTTTTGCTGCCTTGCGAGCCGCCCCGGTGCTGGTGCTGGGGCTCAAATCAGGACCTGTTCGACTGGACTAAGCCCGGAAATGCACCACGAATGCTAACCTTTGCCAATGGACTCTTTAAAGTATAGACACAGTTTCATATTTCCAACCGCACTATCTGAACTAAAATCTTCGGGAAATGTTACCAAAGCCCAACCATTATTTAATTAAATTAATTGAATAGATATCATATTGACTTCTACGAGTTAATTAAATTAATTACCACATTAAACGGATGACTTCTCTATATAATTTTACATTAAATGGCTGCGGTAGATACAGTTTTCAATAGAAATATTTTAATATAGATGACTAACATATACGACCTTATGGATCATTTGTCCCAAAGCATCCTTTCTCCCAAGAATCTTATTCCTCAGTATCCTTATCGCTCAGTGTAGCCTCCCCAGGACACAATAAACTGAAAAAACTCTGCAGCTGAAAAATAGAAAGTCGCGAGCAAAAAATGTTGCTATTTGCCTACTGCTGCAGAACGGCTCAGAAAAAAGTATGCAACGTCCACCGAAGTGTTGCATGACGCCAAAGGGGCGGGCCCCACTTCTCATCCCCTCAGCCCGCTCTGTACCCCTTACCCGCTCTGGCCACCTTACAGTGCTCCAATCGAAGCTCAGTGCAGCTCGGTTTAAGGGAAAATGGGACGCCGGGTGGTTCCCAGAAAAGTGAAATCAAAAACTGCAGCTTCGCCGGGTGGCAGGGACAATGGGGCGGCATCTCTCTCCTTCAGTTCAAGTGGCAGCAAGACAGCAAGAAAAAATGCAAGCCAAAGGCTGCAGTAAAAATGGCACAAAACAAGCATCTCGACTGACTCTCTCGAACACCCAAAACCCAAACCCAAAACAAAGCAAACCGACGACTACGATGATGATGACGATGAATCCGAGGGCCGTAGTCTCCCCCTTACCGGGCGGATGCACATTGTTAGGCCAGGGCAACGGAATTGGATTGGACAAGGGACTCGGGACGTGGGACACGCGGCCCGGAATATGGAATACGGGACATGGGATATGCGATATGGGATATAGCCACGTTGCTGCAGCGATGCCAAATCAACGGACTCGTCGTCGAGACGCCTCAGCTGCCCAGATAAAGGGGGGGTGGTAGATGCACAGAAAGAAATGCATTTCAGAAATCATATAGTTTTTAGGAAGATATAAGCCTTAAGCTAAGAGGCAGTATTATATTTATAGGCTTTTAAAACGATATATTTAACAAAATAAAGACTGATGGAAAATGGGCCATATCCATTCCACAATTATGAGCCTTGAAGGAATTATGAAAAATCGTAAGAACCCTATAAGATTCCTTATCCTTTTCTATATCTATAGATTTTTGTTCCGTGTATTAGTATTGGGGTTGACAATGCAATTCATATAGTGCAAAAAATCCTTTGGCGATGGAAGGGCGGGCGGTCGGGCGACTTGAAGATGGCAGCCCGGCTGCCATTTCTGCATGTTGTATTTATTGCACAAAAGGGTGTCGGGGGGTGGTGGCTGGGCTGTGAGGGTGCCACGAGGTAGGAGGATGGGGGAGGCATATGCAAAAGAAAAGCTGCATTTGCCGACTGTGGTGGGCTAGTTCAGGACACCACGACAAGGCGACTTTGGCACGTACGGCTACGCTGGCCATGGCACGGTGGAGGCAGAAAAATGGAAAATCCAGAAACGCGAATTGTTAAGCTTGGCAATTTTTTGCAAACGTCTGGCCGCCAGTAAGGCGGTGGGGTAGGGGTGGGGCATGGCATATAGGCCTTAATACTGTGGCATTTGTCTTGGAGCTGAAACAACAGACGTTGCCGATGCAGACGCTGAAAAAATGCATAAAACGTTGCAACAAAAGTCGGCCCAAAGGGGTTGCAGACTACCAAGAAGAAGAAGAAGGACCAGAAGGTGCAGGGATATGGTAGATAAGGAATGGCAGGGGGAGAGGATGAAGGCAGGGAGCGGATGAGTCTGCGAGACGCAGCTGCTGCAACGTTGATTTGATGAACAATTCGCTGGGGCAGCCAGTGTGACGATGTCTAGTCGGTAATATGCAAAAAGTGCTTGCCCTAGACGTCTGCCTTGAGGGATTTGAGACTTGGCTGGAGGATGGAATTTTCCACTCTTTCTTCCCATTCTCTTTCTCTGCATCCCGTTTGGGCAATGCAATTCTTCTTCATTGTAATTTGGCCAGGACATTGGCCACCAAAGTGACTGCCCGACCATTGCACTGATTCCCAGGGAAGTCCGGGTTGCCAAGGCAGGAGTTGCACTTGGAGTATTTTTTGGGTTGTTTTCTTTTTTATTTTAGGATTATATTTTTCAAAAAAGTAGGTTACAAGGATAAGGAATTTTATTTATTTAACCATAACCACAATTTAACAAAAAATGTTATAAGAAAAGGTTAAGGATGTTTCTAGCTATTTTTTCATATAGAGAAAAGTAATCTTATTGATAATGTTCAATAAAGACACTTAATTTCTTCCTTTTGAAAATCTGTACATCTTTAACTTAATCCTTTTTCCGCCGTGTGGAATTCTGGGAGGCCGGTGGTGTCGTGGCAAGGACTTGCGGACTGGGCGACAGTTATGCGGCTCGCGCATACAAATTATGCGGGGAGGGAGCGCCGCGGCGGTTGGCAAATGGCGAATGCCTAACAGATGAAATCCATGGACTACCGACCTGGCCATTTCCCTTGTCCCGGTCTATTGTAAATTTGCAATTTTTGCCGACTGCGGCTCGATGCTTTGTTTTGCAATTGTTCCTTTTTTCTCTGGGCCCAAAAATAGGAAAGGGAAGTCTCGTCGCGGAACCATTTTTGGCCAAAATGCATTTTGATGTAGTCGACGGCTGGCAGAAGAAGGAAAGGAATTCACAAAAAAAAGAAGGAGGAAAAAAAAGAACACTGCACTCTCTTTTGGATGTCCGATAGATCCTGAATCCTGGTGAAGGCAATTGCGCGATGGATGGGTGGAATATCCTTTTGTTCGGGGGGGCAGCCTAATCTGACTGGATGCACTCTCCGCTGAGACAGCTTGGGAAAGTGTCCGGCAGAAGTGGCAGGGATACGGACCGGGGAGTCCTAGGACGGGAGGTGGCAGGAAGTGGCCTGGCAAATTTTCCATTATGCTCACTCAATCAAAAGTGCAACAAAATAAAAGTTTTGCGCACTCCGCACACATCTCTATGTGTCTCCTCTGATATGAATACGATTTTAGTTATGGAAAAACTTTTCCATCAGCGGAGGATTTACTTAAGCCATATTTTATCATTCGCCCCATGTGGCAGCTGCAACTTATTCAATTATTTTAATGGAATATTCTCCTCTGTTTGCAGACCCTGCGATGTCTTCTTCGCTGTCGGTTGCCGGGTAAGTCTGAGTTTTGATAATTGAAATGCAAATTGGAATAGTTAGGAGGGGCATTCCTCCCGATTACTCCCGATACCCTATTGTACGTTGTGACCCAACTTAAATTCCGGCCCAGCCAACTCAATCGCACTGGGTGCGGTTAATCGAAGGTAAACAATCTCCTCCCACTGGGGGGCCGAGGCGGGAAAGTGCAGCAGTGTCATTAGGCAGTGCACTGGGATCTGGCCGAAACGTTTTGGCCAAATGCAGAACTGTCAAATATTTACTCAGGCAATTTAGCATGCGGCGGGCGGGCAAATAATTACAAAAACGTTCGGAAAACAAATAACTAATAGGAATGGATGGATGTGCGGGTGCAGGAAGCTGCCCAGGACAGACCACTTTCCACTTTTCGCTCAAAAAACAAACATCCCAGCCAAAGGATGCAAAAACAGAAAGGGAAAACACGAAATCGCGAAAATGTGACGAAACAATAGATACAATGTAGTCAAAACAAGCCAGATAAACAACAAATCAATATGCTAAAAATGCTAAAAATGCTAAAAATATATGCAAATCAGTCTAAAATTCAAATGATGAGAATGGCTTGAACAAAGTATGAATTTCAGAGGAAAATCAAAGGAGCATGACTCCAAGTTCTTGTTCTTCTGTAAATATTTTCATACAATTTCCGGCAGAGCTTTAGAAGAAAATCTATTCCTGGCACGCAAGCAGATTATGTTTTTAAACAATTACGTAAACTGCAGTTGGCTCTAAAACCCCAAATTGTGGCCATAAAATACAACCATATTTGATTTCAGGAATGTACACTTGGGCCTTAGTCTAATGTTCGATTGGATGTCACCCTGGCAACTGGCATCTGGCAACCGGCACCCGGAATAGGCAGGCAAACAATTCTTTTAGGAGAAATCTGAGCAAAGTCATTTGCATGCCATTTAGACTTAAGAGTTACCCCGTCCCCGGAAAGTGACTGGGGATTTTCGGGGAGTTCCAGTGCGGGCACAGGACATTTGCAAACGGAAGAAAAACAACAAAACACCACTCTGAGATGCATTTGCATCAAAATGGCTGAATGGCCGACCGACTGGTGGGCGGGAGGATATATTTGGCAGGATGGGGATGGATTGGAGGACTTCCTCGCTATGCTCCGGCAGCCATGCATGTCACTCACACAGTCACAGAGTTGGGACCATCTATCGTCACAGCATCCGTTGCTCAATAGTCCTTTTTGGCAACGAACCTACCGGCATGGAACGGCCCTCCCTACCCTGCCACCCCAGTACTGTTTACATCCCACACCCCGGCCTCCGCCTATTCATCAGAAATGCAATTTCAAAATTTTTTTCCACAACTTCTTCTGCACTTCGCACCCGTTGCATGCCAAAAACTGCATTTTAGGCTCTGGCTCTGGCTGTGGCTCCGGGTCTGGTACGGGTACGGGTATGGCTCCGACTCCGGCTGATGCTGATGCTCTGACTCCGGATCTGTCTGCATGGACTCGGGCTCGACAAATGCATTGCCTCGTCCTGATGATGATGGTGCCCAGAACTCAGGACACTCACGAGCACACGCAGGTTAGAGTGGACTAAGAAATTGGTATTATTTGATATTTTAAGTTTCTTAAAGTCCAAGACTGCTTCGTTACTGAAGAAGAAATAGTTTATGTAATTCTTTGCAGGAATTTAAAATTTACACTTTGAGTTTAACTTTCTAATATTATTCTGTTGAGGGTCACTCTATTCCGCACACATATGTAGAAACAGGACTCGCACGTTTGATGTACAATATTTTTAGTGCTGTGCCTGGTTTCAGGATCCGAGTTTCGGGCTTTTTGCAGTTTCAATTGGGCTGCAAAAAATTGCAATCTAGGCAAAAATGCAACAAAGGCAAAGAGCTGGGTGTGTATATGTATATTCAGATCTCCACCCGCTCCAAAGAGGAGTGTAGAGTCCTACCCCCCTTAGAGTCGTGCCCCCTCTGGTTGGGGAGTTTTTTTTTGTTTTTGGTCGGTGGAGTGCATCTATGTGCGTGGATGTGCATTCATTTGGGCCAGCCCGTTTGGGCAAAAATGCAAATTTTTTAGCCATCGCCATCTGAAAATAGGATGGCAAAAATTTCTGCATTTTGCAATTTCAAAGCCTGGAAATTTCGTTTGGGGAAAATGCATTCAGGACAGGTCCGTTGGCCAGCCAACCAACCGACCGCCCACTCCGCCATCCTGCCATCCTGCCAGGCAGATGGATTGGCATGGATTACAAAGGGGGCACTGGCTGGTTGATGGGCGTGGCCATTTTCTAACTCGCAACTTAAAGCTTTAACATGGCCTACGCTATTTTCACAATTAATTGACCGGAACGATTTCATAAAACTAAAAAAAAATCGAAATCCGCACACGATAAATTATCCCCACAAGGAAGATGTCACGTTTCAGGCTGAAACTCCGCCAAAAAGGTTGCCGAAAATGTCAAAAAGGGTCGTCCTGAATTAGAAGCGAGTGGTAGGATGGGAGGCCAGACTACCCAGGGGCAACATAAATTTGCAGGAGAAATTAATGACGTTTAAGAAGGAGCTCAGAGTGGGAGGGAACTGTCGAACAACCCTTTTTGCAAAAATCTTTCTAATTAAGAAATATCCAAACAGAACTGAACAGACTCTGGCAGCCATTGGCAAAAACTCAGAACACACCCAGCTGCTGGAAAGCATAGAAGCAGCTGCCTTGCGGTCCTTGGGTGTCCTTATAACGGCCTCCTGCCTTTGTATGCATTGAAATAAAATAATAGTAAAAAGTTAAAATTCTATTCAAATTGTTTGCCAGCTGAAAACAATGTAATTTCATTTTATTTGAATATAAAAGGACCCCGTTTCCCATCCAGACCGCTGCCATGTTCTCCATCTTATGCTGGCACAACTGCACAAAAGTCGTCTTTTGTCTGCTGGCCAGGACGAGGACGAGAATGAGAAAAGGGAATGAGATGGCAAACAATCCCAAGCTTTCCACCTCAGTCCTCCTCCTTCTGGGCCACCTCGTCATCCCACAATGGTCATCTAACCAGAGCAAGGTTTGTATGATTACGTTAGCAACTTTACCGCAGTTCCTCAACTGAACCCAAACTCAGTTCAGATAGTTTGCCAACGCTGCAGGTTGACCACCCGGCCCCTCCTCCAACCCCTTTTTGGCCATGTTACGACTGCGGTTACTGTGGGTGTTGTTGGGCACTGGCCATGGCCGGAGCAAAATCACAATCTGGGTTTGAGGCTGTGGGTATGGCTGTGGGTGTCCGACTAAGCTCGACTGTGTGCTTGGATTTTATTGAAACTTTTCTTTGCCGCAAACGTAGAAAGGAATATTTGATATCCTCCCACTTAACCTCGCCCCGATCCGTTTCTTCGTTTCCTCCTAGTTTGAGGTTTTAGCTTTCCGAATGGCATAATGCATCCAACTTGGGGCTTATGCATACTTTATATACGTACTCTTTTTAATTTAGCAATTGCAGTTGATTTCCTTTGTTATAGCAGAATTTAACACTTTTCATATTATAATAAAGAATAATGGATATTTATTTAAGACTTGAAGAATCGATCTACATTCATTTAAGGTATTCCAGTCATACATATATCCGATCATTCTTGGCCAAGATATGGCCTATGCTGTGGGACGCATTGTCCTCCCATGCATTTTTCACATTTTAGGAAGGGGCCTCCGGAAATTTGTCAAAAAATTAAAAAAAAATAATTTGTTTCTAGATTTTGATGCAGAATTGTGGAGAATCGATGTACAAATCGTTTAAGATACTCCGCTCAAGAATCGGATAAGTTTTGACAAAGATATGGTTTTTGCGGTGGGCCATATCGACCCTCCCATGCATTTTCCAGATTTTAAAGAGGATCTTTCAAAAAACTTGGTAAAATATAATATTCTCCAAGATTTTTCTACAGATCGATTGAGAATCAATTTCCTGATGTCATTGTATATTCTTGTTAGAGGTATTCTGATTAGAAATCGTCGTGTTCTTACACATTTTTAAAGAGTATATAATCCGAAGGAAAGAATACACCCCTTTCATTTCCTTAGAGTCCGTCGATTAAACTGCTTGGATGCCAAGCTTGCAAGGGGTTGAAAGCAACCCTTATGAATATCTCAGCTTTCCCGACTACCCCTGCCCATGCCACAGATTCAAGAACTGCGCCAACGTGCCACAACGAACGCAAATTGCACTCCAAACATTTTACGTTTAATGGACGAGAAGGCATCCACAGCATCCATGTTATTATGCAAGGGACAGACGCACACTCACACTGGCACTTCCAACGTCGGACACACGCACACACAGACCAGTGCAAGTGCACAAAGGAAGTGCAGGTCCTTTGGCGAAAGGACGAAGGTGAAGAGCATTGGAGGAGGGGAAATGCCAATGGAAATGTGCAGGAAGTATGAAGTCATTTGAATTTGAATTCAAAATTTTCTAATAACATTTCAGCTGAAACAATCTAATAACACAGATACACGCACACATAGGGCGAAATACAAGACCGCAGCAATGTCCAAAAAGGACGAAAACGAAAGGAACCACCCACGAACGAGACGAGACAACGTCCGTAGTTGCTCCTTCCCCCTTGAAATGGGGCAAAAGCAAAAGTGTTGTTAGTACTAGACGCTCCTCCTGCTACTCCACACCGGGCATTGCCATCCTTTGCATCCTTCGATGTCATCGTCAGCGCAGGACGAAAGGGTGAACCTGGCAATGTGGAATGGGCGAAGTGGACTCGACGCAGAGTCCCCGCTCGTATCTTGGCAATAAAATAATGACTCAACTGAACTGAAAACTAGAAATGTGAATTGTAAATGGCGCAGAGGACACCATTACCCAGACACACACTCTGGCACAAGGACATTCTCTGCCTTTCACGTAACACGGCTTCCTAGTACGTGCCCTGCCACGCCCCACGACCCAACCCCCAACTCCCACGCCTCTTGCACACTTCTTCTTTTGTCTGCGTTTTAAATTGTGCAATTTTATATTTGCAAGTTTCTATGTGCCCTCCTCTAGTTTCCCCAGCGAAAGGTACCACAGCCCGAGTCTTTGTAATTGCCGCATGCCTGCTGCCCCCAATTCCTCGCCCACCCACTCCAACGCCAAAATGGCCCCTTCCCCATCAACCCTCTAACTTTGCGTAAGTTTCTCTGCCGCTTTAGTTCTAACTGCCCCGGCAGTGGCTTTCATTTACTTAGAGATGCAGATGTTTATATATATATATACTGTATTAGATAAACGTGTTCCCATTTCAAATTTCTACACTTTTTTATAAAAGAATTTAATATTTTTCAGACAGGTTTAAAAGGGTCTAAGATTTAGCTTTTAAAAAGGGGCCACTATCTTCTGTTATTTTTCAACACCTTTGCCTCTATTTTACCAAAAGTTTTTCTTTTGGCGAATTTCTCTATGGAAACTACTCTTTGGAAACTTCCCCTGGTCTCCTGGGTTGACATGTACAACTGCAGCTACCACAAGTCCACCAGTTCCAACTACACAATTGTATATACGACTTAACCAGAACGGAGAAAGAGAAACCTCCGGCAACTTCTTCTTGTCAGGCAAAGGGATATGCTGTCATATGCATTTATTATGTGGCACTTGGCATAAGTTTTCAGTTTTCAGTTGGCTTGGCTCCAGTTTCCTTAAATTTCTAGCAGGCTTAAAGGACAGACGCTGTATAATAATAAAAAAACAGATATGTTGTTTATACTGGACTACCTACTCCCAGAGGCTTCGGCTTTTAATAAGCAAATTAATGAATGCGTGGAAGTGCAAATTTGTTTGTGAAAAGGATGAAAAGTACTCGCAGTCGACGGCACAAAGCCATTCGAGAGTGAAGGTTGGGAAAGCTGGAGTCTGATGGAGTTGAGGAAAAGGCGACATCAATGGCCGAAAGGATCAGGGAGGTAGGAAGCTGGGCGGCTGACGGGTAAATTGCTTGTAAAATGTAAGCAGCGTCTAAATTAACTTTTGTTTGCCTCCCATAAATGCCGAGTTCGAGCTGGGGGTGCAAAATAATTATGTGGCGCTGTCTTATTTTAATAATTTCCAGAGATGCCGTGGCATAAAAAACGACAGCCCCCCGCCCGAAAATAAAAACCCGACGAGGCGAGTCCTTCTAATAAATATGCAAATGGCGCATTTAAATACTGAACGAGCAAAGGGCTCCAGCGGGGTGGTGGGTGGTATGAAGTGCCCGGGAGCACTGTTCGCTTTTTAATGTCATTTCTTAATAGCTTCGGATACATAAAATCTGAGGGAGTCCGGGAGTCTGCAGAAGATGTCGTTCTGCAGATAACGCGCATACGCCACGTAAGCCGCTCCAAGCGGACCTGGACACGCCGCCTGGGAACTGGTACTGGTCACGTAGTCTCATTCAAAAGCCCACACACTCTGGGAAAAAGGACACCTGCCACGCCCCCTCTGGTCGAGCTTCCTTTTTACGGCCAGTGGCGCCAGGCGGCCATACCCGAATTAGATGTAGGTGGACATTTGTTTTTTACACCCTCCCGCCTACCCCCGCCTTCGGCACAAGGTGCAAATCCTTGAGATCCTTTTCCGTCCCTCCGCACCGCCATCCCCTCATGTGCGGCGCGTGTGCGTCCGTGTTGGCCCTTGGTAAATATGAAAATAAATAAATCCTAAGCGTAAGCCAAAGTTTTGATGTATGCCCCAAGCAGTTAAAATGTGGGCGGCCTGAGCTGGTGGGTCTGGGGGCGTGGCATACTAAATCCTAGGAACGAGAATACGTGTGTGCGGGATGCATGAGGGAGTGTGGGAGGTCAGTCAAAGTTATTTTAGGGCCACATTTTAAGCTCTTTGCCAACGTGTCCTGCGCATCCTGGCTAAGCCAACGGGCTTCAGCTACGCCTTATCTGTAGCAACGTTGCTCCTCCAGCCGGGAGGGGGATTGGCATTGGGATTTCGGAGGGTGGTTTTAGTATTTTAGGTGCTCAAAAAGTTACATAACACGAGGCAGGAAGGCACAGCTCAAACTCCTTTATGTGTCCTGGCTTATACGTATGTATGTGGGTGTGGAAAATTATTTATCAGCAAACAGGAAATTACCAAGCCGAGAACTTGGTCCCAAGGAAGAGACCTAGCGATACTCTTATAAGATAATATTAAATAATATCTATTGAGGAACTAAATTGAAAATTAATTAAGAACAGAATATATACCTTCAAAAGATTGAATAGCAGACAATTTTCATATTAAATAAGTCTTATTGGCGTAAGATTTTATTAAACCCATTGATCCACCAATCTACCTAAGCCTTTTCAAGGATATTGCTTTTTGCTTATCTTGCTGCTTAGACAGAATTTGCTGGACGATGCGCTTGTTCTCGCAAAAGCGAATTTAATTAATTAGACGGACGCTGGCCAGTAGATCTGAACGAGCACGGGTGCCAGAGCTATGGGTTAGCTGAACCCCATTAGACAAACCACCCACCCAGCACCACCAGCACCACCTCCTTTGTTGCTGCGGTCGTTTCCTAAAAAGTTCTACATGTGTTGTGTGCGGTGGGTGTGTGTGTGTGTGGGGCTGGTTGGAGGTCCCTTATCAAATCCACCGCAGCGGCAAAGTTAAAAACTATTAACTAAAATTTTCTATTAAAACTTTTCGCTGAACTAAAAACTTTGCCATGTTGCCAATGTTGTTGCCGTTGCTTTACTGCCCACAAGCAAGTTTAATTTGTTGTAAACTTTTACGTTGGCGCCCAGAAAGGAAAGCGGAGATGTCCAGCTCCAGGTCCATTCCGGGTCGTCTCCTGTGGCTTTTTTGTCTCCGATGTTGCAAGAACAGAAACAAAATGCTCAACTTGCTCACCACCTCATTTTCTCTTTTTATCTTTCCAGATTGCCCCGAGGACCCGGCCAGAAAATTGCATTTAGCCCGACCTTATATAGACGCCCACTAACCGAAACATTTTGTTAAGAACCGCTTCAGTAATTCTAGTTGTAACTCCAATATTTGTCTGTAGTTTGATTGGCATTTAGTTATAACCTGCTTATGCTTCTTATCATTAGTTATTTAAATAAAATACATTGAGTTTTTGCCTATTTTGTTTACTGCTTTTTTATTATCCGCTTTAAATAAAAACCAAACAATCGAACGGATCAACCTGAAGCCTTATTTGGATCATCAATGTACTCAGAATCAGGTTGGTATCTTCTTAAATCAAAACCTTATTAAAATTTCATACTTACCCTTAAAAAATGAGTGTGGCGCCATCTAGGGGCTGGTGCTTGGAACAAGAACAACCCCTTTCTAATGAAAGGGGTGCAATGGGAATGCTTTCTAAAATTTCAAATCAGAAAGCTCAGCGACGAGCTTTCAGTGGCACTCGTTGAATATGCAAATTAGAATATGACTTAAGTAAGGGAGGACTTCAATGAGAATCTCATGAAGGACAGTTCCAACTTTGGATATCGCTTTTAAAAACCCCAATTTTGGCTGAATTCTAAAGAGATTTCTGCGAATATTAGTAGAAAACTCGTTGTACTTCTTTTCCCTAAACGGAAGTTTTATTTTATAAAGACTAAGTAGAAGATACATCTTGGGAGAAAAATTGGATTCAATTAAATGGGTGTAGTGAACACATAAGGGTTAGGATTTCAAGGCTTTAAAAGGTTTTAAAAAGAATTTAAATATTTAATCAAATGGATTTTTGATCCTGCGTTTTAAATGGATCTTTCCTAGAACATTTTTATTTAAACTTTTACACTACACATTTCTCAATTAAGCACCTAAAAAGTAATCTTAAATCCATAAGGTGCTTATGTGTAAAGTAACGACGTAAAGCCAAAAAGTTACTTGTCTGTGGCTTAATCTAAACACCTTGGGGCTAAACAAGATTTCAGGCCTGTTCGCTTGGCTAAATCCAAGTGACCAACTCCATGGAGTTTCCTTTCCCACTCTGTGGCTTCATTTTGCATAAACATTACTCGCCTCCGAATCCCCCCAGCCGTGGAGAGTAAAAAATCCGGTAGACAAGCATTTTTGGACCTTATCAACGACAATGCCAGGTCGTTAGGCTTGCATTCAGATTTCAGCTGCAGACGGAGCCGTGGACGGTGGCAGGGTCGATGTGGCGGCTGGAGGCAGTTGGTGGCGGGTCAGGTGAAGCAAGACCAAACCGGCGACGGAGGCAAGGTGGGTCTACCTTCAAAGGCAGTCAGGAAGGTGGGAGTCACAGGAGCAACAGAAACAGGACCAACAGTCGCACCCTAAGAGTCTGCGATTTTAATTTTATGACTCGCCAGGGTTAAAAACTTGTGCACATAAAATGGGGAGACATGCAAATAAAATGAAACGGCACAACACTTTTTCCCCAACCCACAGACTGTGATACACAAAAAGAAAACTTCTGGATATTTAAAACAAAGATATGGCTGTTCAAAGATATGGCCTAATATTTTGTAGCACTATTTTAAGAACCCATAGATCAGTGAAGAATCGAATCTTGACAAGGTTTATTTTCGGTAAAATATCCTTCTAGAATGGTATATTTTTTCTTGTGTAATTCTTCGAGCCAGAGATTTTATGCCATGGCATACCTTTTGGCCAAGGCAGCTGCCATGATTTGTTACAGATTTCCTTTCTCGACTAGACTCGGCAATTGAACAGCTTACGGCTCAATTCGCACAGCGAGAAAATCCCTGACGACTGACAAGTTCCTATGGCAGCATCTCAAAAACAATGATAAAACCAAAACGAAAACTTCGAAAAAAACGGGAAAGCGGAAAATTTCAGACAAAGGCAGACTGCACCTGAGGCGAGTGAAAATACGGGAGAATATTAATGGATCTGTGCCATAAAGACGACAGCTGGCAGACACGCAACAAGAACAAAGCAATGACACTCGGCCCCGCATTAAGTCGAGCAGAATAAAATATGTATGTGCATCAAACCCATATACCTATTGAGCTGGGGGTGAAGAGGGTTATGGGGTTACGGAAATTTGTTGCCAAAAGTATGCGACAACAAAGGCAAAAGTTCATCATGACAGCTGAAAAACAATAGAAAACTTTTTGGCCCGAAAACAAAAGGAAAAGGAAGCATCACAACGACGACGGCGACGACGAAAGCGGCAATGAGATGGCGGCCATTGTGGAAAATGGGTAGCAAACAGCCCCGAGAAATGGGGTTGTTCACAGGGGTTGCTTATCTCCCGGGTCCTTTGCATACTTTTAGGCTTGCGCCTTGAATATTCGGGAAGCCGTTCGCCGCCCTGCTTGGGCTTGGGCTTGGGGTTTGAAATGAATTTTAATTTCTTGTCTGCGGTGCGGTACCGTTGCTGCCGTTGCCAGTGAACCCAACTCCACTCGATGCCAACTCCACACCACCCCCTGGCCACATGAACCACCTGCACCACAGCCGCACCCATACCCATAGCCATAGCCATTGCCACCCAAAAAACCTCAGAGGAAAACAGACGCACGAAGTAAGGGAGCAAAACAAAAAGGAAGAAGGCAAAATCAAGTTGAATTAATTTCGAAAATCATGGCCGCTTGCCGGGGTGAGCAGCTCGCCATGTTTGAGTTCCTCATGCTCCTGCTCCTGCTCCTGTTTCTGACTCTGTTTCTGTTTCTGCTTCTGTTCCTGCTGCTGCTATTGACGGCAAGGACGTGGCCAGGACACAAGCAGGCTTGGCCATGTGAGGGGACTTCCCGGAATCCCCCTTTCTGAACGTGCACGTTAATCTGCTCGCAGACGTTCCACACGCGATGCGTGTCTCCTGCTTGAGGAGGAACAACGGGGGCAGAGGGTCCTTGCCGGGCAGGACTCATCATCATCATCAACATCAGCGGCAGTAACCGCAATGGGGGACAAGGACTCGTGTCACGTAGACGAAAGTAAATCCACTTTCACCCTTGTTGCGCCTCGTTTTGCCGAATGTTTTTCACAATTTTCCTCTTTTATCCTGCCACCTTCCCTCTAAAACATGCTACGCCCCCCACTCTGTGCATTTCCTTTACAAAAATGGCTACTATAATTTGGCCTTACTTTCGACGGGCTTTTAAATGAGTTTTTTGGCGCGGGACGGCCGATGGCCACCACATTTTCCCCCATTTTAGACAACAGAATGGATACCATTTCAGTCCCAAATAATGGACATGCCGGAAGCTTTTTACAATTTATAAAATTACATTTTGGCTCATTAATTTTACTTATTGCAACGCTATTTTGTTTTCAACAATTTGTTTTGCCTCCAAAATGGTTTCTAGCGTATTTTCCACATCTCCGGCTGATATATGGCCGGGGTCCGACATCAGCTGATAAATTGCTGAAAACTGATGCTGTCCTGGGTGGTAAGGGGGAGCTTATTAATTATCCAGCCAGGACCCTGGGCTTCTTAGTCAGATCCTGTTAAATTACCGGCATTAAAAAATTGCCCAAGATAATAAAGGAGCTGCCGAAGCTTAATTTGCTTTTCTACACATTATTCAGACATTCTGAAAGGAAATCATATATTATATTATCCCCAAAGATAAAGGGGTTTGGTCTAAGCTTAGTAATTCATAAGCTTCAATGTTAGCAAACAATATGGTACACATTGACTTCAGGGAAACTAATAGTAGACTTCTTGATTAATATTTAATACTGAGTTCAACAGAAACATCAACCATTTAATCAAGACAAGAATTGCAGACATTCCCAACTATAAATATTTAATTTCTTGTGGAAGTACTTTCTAAAAGACTCTCAAGGGATATATAAGGACTCTTTATGTAAATAATTAATTCCACTTGATTGATTGTCCAAGAAAGTAAACACAAGTCTAACCATTGCAACCACAAGTAAATAAAATAACTTAATTAATGGAATTCCCTTGACATTTGCTACGACCTCTTTTAAAATTTAAATCCATTGTATATCAGTATGCTCACTTGTCAGCTCTCAACCAAAATTGAATTTATTTAACTAACCCTGTCGGTCGAAGAGAAAATAATTTAATGTTGGCCACTTATTAAGTGAACGGTTTTTGGGAACCGCAAAAGTTTCCCGTATTTTTCCCAAAAATTCCCGTCGAAAAACACCCGAAGCGAACTGCGCTGCCATGGCGCGTCGGGCACTCGCACTAATTAAACAAATATTTAATTATAAAAGATTTTACTGCAAAATGCAAGCAGACGCATAAAATTTATAGCTAAACTATTATGCGACACACTCACTCGCACCCCTTGGACCTTATCCAAAATCTGCCTGCTCAGCCACCCTTTTGAATCCCTGAGTGGCACCCAAAAAATCCGCATGAACAATATTTTCCAACTAAAAGCGCGCAAAAGTTTCAAATTTAATTAAATTAGAAGCAATTAGCACGAAAGCTAATAAAAGTTGGCCCGAAACTGCAGGAGTCAGTGGAAGTTTGGCTCAACTTTTGGGGATTGTATTTCTTTGGGGAGGTGGAGATTAGCAAGGGTTTGGGTTAGAATAGGTACTCTACTCTCCACAAACTGAAGGTGTATCTTTTTTAAACTATAATAAAATATATTTTTATTTCAAAAGTGAGATTATAACCATATTGGCTTTTTGAGCAATTAAATATTTTTAAAGGCTTTCTAGCGTAGGACCTTATCAAGTAATTGAGCAAGAAGCCACAGTGATAATTGAGTATCACTAAGTGTCATTAAGTGCTCCACTCGATGTCCTTCAGTGCGTGCAGGAGGCCTCGCTTTGGCTCCGCCCCCACATGCACCCCCCCTAGAAGGTCCTTTAAGAGCTTCCTGTTTGTCGGGTCGCCGCATGGCAAATAACTAAATGTGTTTACTAAACCACTTACTAAACACTCAACAACTGCCGGCCAGCAGAGCCAGGGTCGTCTATTTTTTGTGTCCTTTGTGTTTTTGTTGTTGCCAGGATGCGAGTGCAACGTGACCAAGCGGCTAAAGTTGGGCAAACGGAAAAAGGAATATACACAGTAGGAGTAGGAACCCAAAGCCAGGGCAAAGGGAAAATCCAGGAGACGCACTACAGACGCGTCTAGTCTGGTAAAGG